TCCAGTCATTTATTTTGTTAGCCCAATTTAGGTCAATGATTAGCAAGCTAGCCTACTAATAGAATTAATTAATATAATTTGAGTAGACAGGTTCGCCTATCGTACGGATCAGGCTCCTCCCCGGTCTTTTAAACAAGAGTAGGGGTTTATCTCTTGTTTAGAATTGGGGATCCCGGTTAATTTTAAAGTCTCCTTCAACTTCATATTTCTAACGTCCATACCTAATCTGTGAAACTTTGTTTACTTTTTCTTTCATCAATCAATATTAGATAGATAGAGTTGCATATCACTCTTTTCACAAAAAAAAGGTTTTTGAAAAGGGAAAATGAGGTTAATCCCTTGGTTCTTGTTTAGGATTGGGTTTTCGACTTTTCATTCTCTTTCACTCCTTTTATATCTCAGTGACATTATCGCTTTGCTTGGAGTGAATAGTTTAAAAAAATATAATAGGTTCGATCCTTGGTGAATGCTATACACTTAAGGTTTTGGTTTTCCTGAATCAAATCATATTAATTATTTTGGTTAGCCAGATTTAGCCGAATGTTTACTAATAGAATTCTAATGTTCCAAAGGGTTCTGTTCTAGGCGAATAGAAGAATAAAGGTGTAATCAAGAAGACAGTAGAGAACGATTGACATTGCATTTAAATTTTTGAAGATTAAGCTTGGCTGGAAAGCAAGAAGACAGAGAGACCGACAAGAGAGAAGAAAAGAAGCATAGAACATTTAGCTAATTCACTGTGAATTGGTGAGACCTTACCGCCAATCTAGCACTTCGCTTAAATTCATAAAGTCTAGTTACCAGAGAGGAGAGCTCACCCGAAGAATTACCATGAAAAATATCTAAAAAAAAAAGAACAAGGAAGCTTTTTGGCCAATGGTTACCAGTAAAATGTTAATGGGTTCTATCCTCAGCTAATGCTTTCCACAATGGTGTTTTTTTATTGTTTGAAGCTACTCATCTTAAAATGGGTGAATGTGAGAGAAAACATCTAATATAGGGAGGATTGAGGAAAGGACAAAAGATGAACGGGATTCCAGAAGATAGAGAATGTCAATTGAAGTTGCATTTAAATTTTTGACACAGGTGGGAAGTACGAGAAACAAAAGAGTTGGAATAGAAGTGGCGGTTGCATATAGCTATTTCAACAGTAAATGGGTGGGACCTAAATGCCAATCTAGTAGCACGCTTAAATTCATGCAGTCGGGACACTAAGTAATAAAGCTCGCCAGAAAAGTTGCCAAGAAAATCTTTGTAGAAAAGACAGAGGGAAGCCACGGCATGTCGGTGAGAAAGTCGAGATGCCAATTACATTACAGATGCTTCTTTGGATTTTGCCAAGAATCTTGAGATCTGCAGCAGGAGAATAAGACCAGATATGGCAGCAGTATTCAATGCACGGACGAATGGTAGATTTGTAAATGTACAAGATGGACTCTGACGAGAAAGATTATCTGGGACGACACAGTAACCCAAGTTTCCTTGCAATAGATGCAGCAATTGATTCGATGCACTCGATACTCTTCAAGTCAGTTGGAAACTTGAGGCTAAGAAGACGCAGTGTCTTGCTCTCCATGAGTCTAGTTCAGGTCCAGTTTCTTAGGTCCTTCTTATCTAATATTCATAAAATTCTTCTGTATGAAAGCGATCATAAAATAAATAGCCGTAGACCAATAAATACTATTGTTTTTCTTATCTACCGGAATCGAGATCATGGAGTCAGTACGAATCACAGAATCATTTCCATGTCTACATATTAAGTGTTTCGACAGGTTTACATACGGTTTTGAATCCAGTTGTTCTGTTCCTAGACTGGCTGCCAAGCATGCTTAGAGAAACCACTTGGTCTTGCTATTTTTTAAACCATTTCACCCTAAGAATGATGGGAATGCCGCTAGTACGCAGTACATATTTTAAAGCAATTATTTTATTACATATTATTTCTTATTACTATAAACAAATTTTGTGTGCTCAAGTAGTGTTGTGGTGTCCTCCCTCTGAAGAGTCTATGTTAGACTCTTCCGTCTATTATAAGATTAGTAAGACAGAAGGCTTCGGGGAAGAGTTGAATAGATTGTTCGACTGTCCAACTCTCTGCCACGGCAGACAGGAACTCGGACGAAGCTTTGCCGAAGGGCAAAGTTTCGTACAGGGAGGTAAACAGTCCCTGAACCCCTCTAAACGGTTTCAAAGGGAATATTTTTGGCCGAGCCTCCGGGCTCGGATAAACGCACGTTAAACTCGGCCTTGTGCCACATGCATTCCCTGTGGAGGGACTGTTAAATATAACAATGAATAGATAGGTAGTTCATTCGATACACTCTCACTAGAAGATTGTAATACAAAATGTTAAATATACGAAAATGTGGAAGAACGTTATTTTCATATTTTTAACTGACAAATACTGACGTTATTTTTCAGTTAAAAATATGAAAATAGCGTTTCTCATTCAATTGCTCAGGTACATTCTGTTTTTGTTTTTATTAGTTACTTTTGTTCAATTAATTTCATTTTTCGTATTTTGTTTTTGATAAAGTCCAAAACGCGTCAGCAATTACTAGTTTTCCTATTGTCATATTTTCTATTATATATATATATATATATATATATATATATATATATAGAAAAAAAAATACAAAAAAAAACAAACAAAAATCTTAATATGCAATTATGCTGTATTAATGTTAATATAAAGTCAACGTCGGACGTTTCGGTCTATTTTAGACCATCTTCAGGACATTTTCATCAACATTAGAACATATAAAATTCACCATGAAAAGACGATGGACGTAAGAGCACAACTAATCCAAACAGATAACTGAAATTTTTATATAAGATCAGCGTTCCGTTTAAATATGATCACGTCGTCGTCACGTGGGCGATGTTGTGAAAACGTATTCGAAGATGATTTCCAAATAGTAAAATATTAAAAAAGTCGATTGAACTATTTTATATAAACAGTTCAACTTCCGTTGATATAAATATTTATATGTTCTAATGTTAATTATGTTTAATGAAAATGTCCTGAAGATGGTCTTAAATAGACCGAAACGTCCGACGTCGACTTTATATTAACATTAATACAGCATAATTGCATATTAAGATTTTTGTTTGTTTTTTCTGTATATTAAAAAACAATACTGTCGGATCTACATCCATATATTTGCATTTTCGGATAAAACAATACATATATTTTCGTTGTCCTCTTATTACTAAGAGAAAAAACAAGAACAACATCTATTCTATACCTGAAGATGTCTGTAGGAACAGACGAAAGCTTGTAGTAAAAATAAGAACTAATACGGCAGAAATTTATATAAACAAGGATCATTTCATTCATTACGGATACGGAGGTTTTTGTATATTATTTGAATTGTTTGCGATGATGGATGTCTCGCCATTTAAATCATTAACCTTTGCATTAGTTTTTGTGTGAATAATTCATGTATATATATATATATATATATATATATATATATATATATATAAAGCTTACTAATCATATAGTAGGCAGAAAAATCTAACATAGATTCTTTAGAGGGAGGACACCACAACAAGTAGACATTGCTATTTTTTTAAACAGTGAAATGTTTTGATTTTTCCGGGTTTTTTTTTCAAGCAAGGCAGAAATATCACTAGTACTCAGGCGGTTACAGGGTGTGAAAGTGAGAGACAAGTCCAGTTATAGGGAGGATTGAGGAAAGGATAAAAGATGAACAGGATTCAAGAAGACAGAAGATAGCGACTGACGTTGCATTTAAATTTTTGAAGATTGTAGTTATCAGGGAAGTAAGTAAACGGAAGGGTGTTCCACAAACGTGAAAAGCAACCGCTGGAGTAGAAGTGTGTTTAACTATATCAACAGCAACACTATGGGACCTAGACGCCAATCTAGTAACGCGCTTAAATTCGCGTAGTCGGGGTACCAGGAAAAAAAAAAGTTCGTTAGACCAGTTACCATAAAAACATAATCGAAAACACGTGGTAACGGTCGGGGGATGGATCAGGGCGGATACATACTTTATTAAAGAGTATAGGTGCGAAAGTGAGTGTAGCGGACTGGACCGGAAATTGAAACTCAACTCATCGACTTCCCCTTCAGGGCCGTTAACCTTTGTACCAGCCGCACACCGGAACACATTTGTAGTAATAATCATAATAACAACAGACAAAAACAGACGAAAACACCGTGAATATCCGGAACTTAGGGAACTTCCGTTATAGTGTTAAGCATATCACTCCAAACGTAATGTCCCTCATTTTATTATGCTTGTCCAGTAAAGGTAAAACCTTACCGTCAATAACCCATATTTTTTCCCGCCTAGTTATACAGGGGGATTGAAAATAACTCCTTATTTTATGGATATGTGACCAGCCAGGAACCCTGACTTAATACCCTGTAACTTTTTTTCTTTGGGGTTGGTTAAAGGAACGAATCTGCTATACCAAACCAAGACTTTGGAAGAACTGACGAGCAAATACAAGAAGTTATGTCTTCCATACCACAAGAGTTCCTGTTGAAATCAGTTGACGCGATTCCTCGGCAGCTCAAGAAGCTGGCAGCGAAAAATGGTACCTATATCAAATTTTAAATAAAATTTCATGCCAAACGCTTTCCTCTCAAATGCATTTCTTGTGATAGTTAATAAATAAATTATAAGTATTTTAAAATGGGGAGTTACTTTTCAATCACCTTGTAGCTGAGAGTCAATATATATTGTCTGACATGAAAGTGCAGACGACGTAGAGATGTGTCATCGAATTCTTCCATGAAGATCTGTTGTGGCCTTGTTAGGGCCAGAAATAAAGACACAAAAAGAGGAATTGAGTTAAACAAATATATTAACAGAAACAGTAATACAAACATATAGAAACGAGAGTGTTACAGCAAGAATGTTCAGTCCGACTGTCAGAGCTAACTGCTGGAAACTTCCCTCTCCTAAAGGCAGTACCTGCTCCTATTTATAGCTGGGAGAGTCTATGCGTGCGTGGGTAAATTATCATAACAGATAGATAGATAGATAGATAGATAGATAGATAGAATATATGTAGGTAGAGAGTGTTGTGGCCTTGTTAGGGCCAGAAATAAAGACACAAAGATAGGAATTGAGTTAAACAAATATATTAACAGAAACAGTAATACAAACATATACAAACGAGAGTGTTACTGCAAGAATGTTCGGTACAACTGTCAGAGCTGACTGCTGGAAACTTCCCTCTTCAAAAGGCAGTACCTGCTCCTATTTATAGCTAGAGGAGTTCATGCGTGCCTGGGTAAATTATCATAACAGATAGATAGATAGATAGATAGATAGATAGATCGGAATTTATGAATAAAAATGACAATAGGAAAACTGGTAATTGCTGACGCGTTTCGTCCAATGTGGACTTTATCAAACTAAAATACGAAAATGAAATTAAATGAACAAAGTAACTAATAAAAACAAAAACAGAATGTTCCTAGCAACTGGAATGTAAAGAAACGCTATTTTCATATTTTTAACTGAAAAATAACGTCAGTATTTGTCACATGTCGAGAATATTGTCATTATATCTGTGTTGATGTATTCAACCATTTTCTTTTGATTTTATGAATCTGTTGTGTATATTTGTTTGTAAGAGCATTAATTTTGTTAAGAAAGGTGAAATAGGGAAAAAGCCTGGACGAAACACGTCAGCAATTGCTAGTTTTCCTATTGTCACTTTTATTCATAAATATTGTCTTCTCTACTGGTTAAATCGGAGAAATTTTCCTAGATAGGAATATATGTAGGTAGGTAGGTAGGTAGGTAGGTAGGTAGGTAGGTAGGTAGGTAGGTAGAGAGTGTTGTGTCCTTGTTAGGGCCAGAAATAAAGACACAAGAGAGGAACTGAGTTAAACAAATATATTGACGGAAACAGTAATACAAACATATAAAAACGAGAGTGTTACAGCAAGAATGCGCAGTCCGACTGTCAGAGATGACTGCTGGAAATTCCAAAAGACAGTCTTATTTATATCTGGGAGAGTCCATGCGTGCGTGGGTAAAGTATCATAACATGATCAAAAAAAGCATTGCATCCAGTGACATACATCAGTGCTTGCTAAAACATTTGAAGAGACCAGTCAGTGGATGTGAGCACAGCAAGGCGGTGGGTTATGCGTTTCGGTAGTGGCGACAAGAATATTTACGGCATATCACGTTTACAAGCGCAGTACTAAGGTCATTGTTCGAAAATGCATAGCCGATAGTGGCGAAAATAGGGCTATTCAGCTGAAAACTTACACTTTCCGACTGTGCTTACAGTATCTCTTCAAGTTCTGGTGAAATAAACAGGAGGCATTATTCTCAGAGCGTATTTTGTTGTTATTATATATCAATAGCATACTTATATATTCAGTCAGTTATGTTTGTCATGGGTGATACATACATTTGGCGATCATATATCTTTCGATACATGACTGACGAACATTTTTTTCCCGCCATTAAAAATATATTCTTTCTGCAGTAGACCAGTTGCCATCCAAGGCTATAGAACCCGGTCTGTCCTGCTATTTAACCATAGAAGGGGAGAAGAAGAAAATTCATACCTTTCCCAAGATTATTAGCACGTAAGTGAATATAATGGATTCGACTGAAATTCGAACCCGTCTCTCCGATTCCCCAGTTACGAGCCATTACTCCACCGTGCATGACTAATATCAACAAAAATACGAAAGGGATTGACGGGATTTGGCATTACTTGGTCTTCACTGACGGCCACCAGACACAAGTAAGAAAGATGAATACAATAGATTATTATTTGATATTCTCTCTGATGCTTCGACGCTTATGGTCGGGTGAAGATCGTAATCATCTCGGTTTATTCTCGAAGCTTAAAGATACAACAGTTTCCTCAGCACATTAGCTGTCCCAAGCAGTGTTGCTACTTGCGTATTCCCGATGATTTCAGATGCCCACAAGGCCATTTCTTTCTGCAGTAGATCAGTTGCTATGTCCTGCTATTTACCCAGAAGAAGAACAGGATCTATAGCTTTCCCAAGGAAATTAGCGCGCAAATAAATGTAATGGATTCGACTGGAATTCGAACTCGGTTCTTCGATTCCACAATCCAAGTCGCTATCCATTAATATCCTCCTTACAAATTACGTCGTTGTAATTGGCAATAAGGCACCTGTTTATCGCTGACGGACATGCATTGTTATTGATGCTGACTATGTGGAAAAATTAGTGTTTTGTAGCTGAAAACTTGCTCTATCCAAGAGTGTTATTATTTTCCATGTCTTGTATTTGTAGTTTAAAATAGGAAATAACAAGTTAGTATTGCTTTCGGAGCCAAACTTTAGAATTATTTTAAAAAAAAAAAATAACCTTTTACCAAATGTGTTGAAGTGTTGGTTTGAATATGTGGAAGATAATGTACAAGGTGTCCATAAAGTTCTCTTTATAATTTAAGAAAATTATTACAAAAGCAAATGAACAGACAAATATGTGGAAATTGTTACAAAATGAGGAATAGATATTGAAGTTATTTTTTAACTAATTTAATCCATTTCTATATGGGCACCATATATATGTTTTACAGAAACATATCAAGACGATACTTGATTTCTTGCCATGTTCGCTATAGCATAGCCTCATCAATGGTTTATCATTTGGTTCGAGTATGAGTTACACTTTGCACTTTATAAGCATACAGACACAAGTTCTTGTGTGGGACTTTTTTGTACTGTCAAATGTGGCAGCTGTAACTTTCTGGCAGAAATACAGATGGACTGAATAGGAGAACGCTGAAATGCTTGTCTTATACGATCGATGTTTTCTTCAGATGTTCTTGAACGTAAATCTTTGCTTTAACCAACAATATCCCTGTCTCTATAAATTCCTTGTGCCATACACGAATTGACAATAGATCTCTTCTATACTTAGTTCGGTAGTTTCACTGAGTGCGTATCCGATTTTGTTTCAATAAACAATGACACACGTTGTGTCTTTTCTTGAGGAGTAACCATTTTTAGGGGTTCATTTAACAGTACCTCTTTCATCAACAGGATGCCTGAAATACATAAATGCAATATGATTAAAAACTTTGATAACTACTGAGTACATAGAACAAATCAAATTCAATTGCCTTTGTTATATATATTTTTTTAAATTGTAAAGTGACTTTATGGATACGTCGTTAGCGTTGGTAATAAGTCTCGCGTCATCGCTGTTGAAAATAAATAGCTATTTGTGGTGACTATGTGAAAAAATAGTGTTTTGTAGCTGAAATTTTGCTCTATCCAATGTAATTATTGTACTGTTATAGATTCTATGGAAATAGATAGGAGACATTATTCCTGTCTGTCCTTTCTGTGTGTGTGTGTGACAGAGAGAGAGAGAGAGAGAGAGAGAGAGAGAGAGAGAAGCAATGGTTATTACATCCGCAAAAACATCAGTATGTGTCTATTTGTTCAGTATGTATCACAGATTTTCTTTTGCTAATATAGCTCAGTTTCAATGTCTTAAGTTTTGATATTCAATGCAGCTACATTTGATTCGTGGGCCTGATTGGTCTTTTCTCTGCAATTGTTGTGCAGCCTGCTATTTTAGTTTGGTTCTTCAAACCTTTCTACAATTATATGCATTTGGGCTGGTTTCTGCGAAATAACATGGCCGAAAAATACAGACATTTATACAGGTTTCATTGAAGACAACTGACAAAACACTGGGATTAAGCTTTTTTCATTATATTTTCTTGCATTCGTACATTATTTTCTGCACATAGAGTCGGTAAAAACTTTCCAAATCATCCGTGGATCCGAGCGCTTTCGGCTAATCTATTACCCATTATCAAGGATTTTGTTTTTTTGTAAATTATTATGGTAATTGTTTTAATTCCCGAACACAGCAAAACGACAGACAAGGTACTACGGTTTAGCTTTTTATTTAATTTATCTTGTGTTCTAACAAGAGCTTTCTTTTCTGGACAAAGGGTGTGTAAGAACTGTCCAAATGTTTTATATTTCCGAGCGCTTTCGGCTATACCTTTAGCCATTATCAGGGATGATTCGATTTTTCAGCTTAATTGAGTGTGTACGTTCTGTGTATGTCTTAGTGTGTGGTAGGGATGTTTTTAATTTTAGAATACGGTTAGCACATTGTGGCTTTGTTAGTAGTTAATATTGTTAAGGGTTGGCTTTTTCTTTTTTATTATTAAAGCTTCCATTATTTTTTTTTGCAGGTGGATGCACTTAATATATTTGTGTTTTCTACTAGTATGCTTCTAATGGAGTCTGGTAATTTCTGTGTGTGTTTAAACAGGTTCTAATGGAACTGTGATCAGATAGGTGTAACGTAAGACGTCTGGATAAGCATGTGGTTGTGTAACCGATGTAATTATTTATGAGTCCGGTTTGATCAGGAACACAGATCCTTAATGGTCATTTGAACAATATATATATATATATATATATATATATATATATATATATATATATATATATGTGTGTGTGTATGTGTGTAATTATTATATGTTTTTTTTATAATAATAGTCATCGGAATTTTTTTTCATCCGTAAAATCCATGTTAAAAGTAACATCTTAACGTATCTTTTTGCATTTGAAGATCCCTTTCCATTTGAAACAATGCAAACATTTTAAAACGTTCTCTTTACGAAAACTAATATAACAACTACAAAACTGTTAAAATTTAATGAAAATTATATATACACATAAGTCGATCAGAGAATTAAAAAACGATAAATTATGGGGATTAATATCAATTACGTTTCGTCTCGTTTTTTTTTCATAATGAAATAATTTTCTTCTTCTGAAATAATTTGAATAAAAAAAAGAAGAAAGAAGAATGAAACGATCAAATTTTTTAAATATTCAGGCCCCATATATTATATATATATATATATATATATATATATATATATATATATACAATCTACTGTTCAAATTTTCCTCAGAATCAATTTCTATGTATGTATATATATATATATATATATATATATATATATAGTTGTAAATTAAGAGTCAATTCCTCTTTTATAAAGAATTTCATTGAGACAGACAAGACACTGTAATTATGTTTTTTATTATACTTTCTTGCATTCATACTCAATTTTTTTCTTTTCTGAATATAGAAGTCGGTAGGAAAAATGTCAAAATGATCCATAAAATATCAATTCAACAGTGCTTTTGGCTAATCTAGTAGCCATTATCAAAGGATTTTATAATTTTTCTTTAACTAAATATGTAGACTTATATATATATATATATATATATATATATATACACACACATTTACATTATATACATATATATATCACACATTTACATTATATACTTGAAATTTTTTGTGAATTCTTAAGGCAATTTGAA